GAACAGGCTCAGGCTCAACCCATCCAAGACCGAGTGGCTGTGGTTTCCGACGTCCCGATATAGTCAGTTGACGCCATCGCTGAGTATTGGGGGCGAATCGCTGGCCCCCACAAAGAGGGCTCGCAACTTGGGTGTCCTCCTGGATTCACGGCTGTCTTTAGAAGAGCACTTGACGGCCGTGACCGGGAGGATTTTTCATCAGGTTCGCCTGATTCGCCAGTTGCGTCCCTTTCTGGATCGGGTCTCCCTACACACAGTCACTCATGCCCTCGTCACTTCCCGCCTGGACTACTGCAACGCTCTCTACATGGGGCTCCCCTTGAGGAGCACCCGGAGGCTCCGACTGGCGCAGAGTGCGGCCGTGCGGGTGGTTATGGGAGCAACATGGCGCTCCCATGTGACACCTCTCCTGCGCAAGCTGCACTGGGTCCCGGTGGTCTTCCGGGTGCGCTTCAAGGTTTTGGTTACCACCTTTAGAGCGCTCCATGGCTTAGGACCTGGTTATTTACGGGACCGCCTACTACCACAAGCAGCTTCCCACCGGCCGGTACGCTCTCATAGAGAGGGGCTCCTCCAGGTGCCATCAGCTAAACAATGTCGACTGGCGGCCCCCAGGGGGAGGGCCTTCTCTGTGAGGGCACCCACTATCTGGAACGAGTTTCACCCCAGAGATACGGAGGATCCCGGATCTACGCACTTTCCGCCGTGCTCTTAAGATTCTCCTATTCCAGCAAGCTGGCCTGGCCTAATTTTCTCCCGTTTTAAAATTCTTTTAAATCGAAATTTTAATCTGTTTTAAATTATTGGGATTTTTTAATTGTCTCGGGCTAAATTATTTAATCTGGTTTTAATTATGTCTTTTAACTTTTGTATCTATGTATTTTATTTTGTGCCTGTTCACTGCCCTGAGTCCTTCGGGAGTAGGGCAGTATATAAATCTAATAAAACATAAAACAAACAAATATTAATTTCTAATATATCCTTTTATATACTGTCTTTTATGTTTTAATATTGCTCACTTGTACACCACCCAGAGTCCCTCTGCAATATAAATGAATGGTTTTTAAAATTTGATAAATATAATAATAAATAAAATATCCTCTATTGATTAACAGGTTAACTTATTCTATGAAAAAGAAAAGTCAAGATTGACTAGTCCATGGCTATATATACTGTATAGGTCGCCACCATTGCAGAGTGCTAAAGGAGAACTCCTTATATTGTAATAGTTAACTGATGTGCAAAACTTGTTTTCAGGAACAAAATATTCTACTTTCTACAGCAATTTGACTCTTTTGAAACTGGCTTTTTCAAATGTTATTAAGAATTGAAACAAAATATTTTGGAATTCTCTGGGATGTTTCATTCCTAAAATGACCTAACCCTAAAATGACCTAACCCTTTGTACATATCTTACTGCATTTTTAGGAGTATATTTTAAATTAATCCACACTCATATTCAAGTTAATTGAAGCAATATTTATGTTCATATCTCAAAGGAACACCAGACCTGAAGCTTATTAATCTTGCTGAATTTAGACAGCCAGATTGAAAATGTTTCATGCCTGAGCATGTTACAACATAATTTTGGTAAGCATTGAGTGTAAATTGTTTATTTTCACTCAGACTATCTACGCAATTCGATTGACAAATTTGTGCAATTCAAACTTCCAATTAATTTGTTATATGTTGGACATAAACAACTAAAAAGTACAATAGAGATTTAAGTCCCTACTGGCAATTCTGTTAAAGCAAAAGGTTTATGCATTTTTGCCTACTATAGTTCACTGAGCTATAAAAAATAGCTTGAAATTCTTCTAAATAGTGTTTAAGAAATGTTAAAATTACTCCTTGAAAATTGTTTAGGAAATAAATGTTTTAATTTTTATTTCATTTAAAACCATGTATATTTCTGTCTCTTTGGGCAGGATATGGAACTATGAAATGCTTGTTCAAGTGCTAGACTGCCTCCTGGGACACTCCCAGGAAATAGACCTCACTTGGTGACATCCTTGGGCAGTGACCATTCAGTTACAAAGTAATTTTGCAACAATGCCACCCAAAGGTGCTTCAAAAGGCAACTGGACTTTTCCTTGAAGACGTTCGCTTCTCATCCAAGAAGTTCATCAGAAACCTTCCTTCTTCTCTTCTCTTCTCTTCTCTTCTCTTCTCTTCTCTTCTCTTCTCTTCTCTTCTCTCTTCTCTTCTCTCCTCTCCTCTCCTCTCCTCTCCTCTCCTCTCTCCTCTCCTCTCCCCTTCCTTCCCCTCCCCTCCCCTTCCTATCCACCCATCCATCCATCTGGTTGTATATATCTGTTTTAAATACTATCCTCAGTAATAATCCAGGTGATACTAGAGAGAAAAAAAGAGTGGCTGACTTACAAAGACATATAGAGGATCAGCTGAAGAAGATCTTACTAGTTATCTCACACTCTACACATATAAATCTCAATTCAGCTGTCAACCTACTCATTAGTCCAGAAGTGCTATTGATAAATGCATTGCAATGGTTATAACTTCAGGGATCAGACATAAGTACCATTCATTCAGCCCTGAGGTAGCTTCAAATGGTCACTGAACAAATTTATTTATTTGTTTTTCACATTTTTGAACCACCCATCTCCCTCAGGGGGGACTTTGGACAGTGAGTTGTTAACCAAGGACTACCTATATTCTGGGTGGAAAAATGTTAACACCTTTACACACAGTTTTAAATGTTTAAATAACTCAATGAGAAAAGCACACAATAGAGAGGAGAATGATCACCTTTTGCAAACAAAGACTCATACCTAATCACCTGTTTAGCAGTTACCTTGCTAAAAGTGCAAAACAGATTGGTGCAATCAATTTAATATTGGTGATTTATAAAGGAGACATTGCCAAACAAGAATACTCGTACTATTAAATGCTTCAGCTGCATCCAAGAAAGTTCCAAAGTGGATTTCTTTGCTTGTATGTGCATTGTTAATATGGTGAGTTCTATTAGTATAAATTGAATATTTTTGTTTAATCAATCCAGCTTAATATTTGTGTAGTTACCAATTATATGATTTAATCTGTTTGCTAAAAGTCCCGAGATGATTTTATCATCTGCATTGGAAGCTGGTCAATATAACTCAGCATTTGTTGTATAATTTCCCTTCCTGAAAATGAATGCTGTAAGCTTTTTCTTCAGTTCCATGGATCTAGAATTGTCTATGCTATACATTTTCATTAATTAATACTATTTTATCTCTATAGTTTGAATCCTTTCTTTTTGTAACTAGATATTTTTTCTCGATAATACTCCTATATTTGCATTTAGATTTTCATTATCCTCGTGACAGAATTTACAGAATTTACCTGTAACTTATTTTTAAAAGTACTTTATTTCCTTGGTTTATGGTAATTATTATGAAGCTTTTCATTAAGACTCATATTTTTTTTAATTTATTCACCCTTAATACTACTCATTTAATTGGATGAATTAATTACACCATACATAGTGAATTCAGGTTTGGCTTTTCTGTTAATTGTCAAGCTAATGAATTATCTTCTTTGGTTCCATTTTCAAAGGATCTTTATTTAATGAAAGCCATGAATTTATCTGCGTTTTATAATCCATTAAATATATTGTTTTCTTAGGTTTCCAACTGGTTCATATACAGTATATGTATAACTACAGAGTGGTTTCTTTTAAGTTGTTCCTGCATTACTTTATATTTTTTTTAATATTTGATTTGTAGTTTCCTTATTTTTTCCTTTTATTAGACACATTTTAGTTTTCTCACTACAGTAGTACAAAGTTTTCTCACTACAGTACTATTTCAAATGCACCTCAAACAGTAGCACCTAATAAACAGGATAATCTAAAAAGTCAACCAGGATCAATCTAATGGTACTTGAATAGGATACCACAAGAAAATCACAGTGTTATAGACTAAACTAAGAAGTTAAAAAAAATATTGAAAAAATATATGCCATTTTATTGTTAAGAAAACAATATTGTTCATATAATCAACACAAATCAAACTTTACTTCCTCTGTGTTTAAATTTATTTTGATTTTAAATTCTTGCAAAATCATTAGATCTTTATTTGAAGAAGATTTGGACAATTATACATGTTATATACTAGAAATTATCACTAATTATAATCCAACAAATACAAATAATCAGGATTTCAGTAGCAAGCGTGGCTACCAGAATAAGAATTAAAATCTTTTTATTTAATTTTTAATTTATCTAACATTTAATTAAACTTAACATAAAGAGCAAGTGGTTATATCAAGTAAACAAAATGTTTCAAATGTATACATTTATGTAGATTTTTGGGTGCGGGGTGGGTGTATACGTGTAACTAGAAGTGCCAGCTGGGACCAAAGGCACCTGCTACATTAATAACTATGTGAAATTGCTCTGAAGAGTGATTTTTCTCATTTCTAGTAAAACATTGAAGATGTTTTGCTTTTGTGATCATGAGTTTTATAGCATCTAGAATTTTCTGTATTCCATTGAGATGAAAAATACTTGCACAACACACATGTATATAGAAGGAGTATCAGATGTTCTACTCATCATTTCTTCAGAATTCCTCATTTTTTTCTCTTTCTTTCAAGAGCACCCACAGATACAGAACTGTAGTTCTTCATATCAGACAAACATTTTTAGAATTTTCATAAATTTCAGGAGCAGATTTCGTATAGCATACCCAGTTGTTGTAAAAAGGATTTAAGGAAACACGTTATTGGAATTCTGCTTAAAGTATTTTGCATTTGAATTTTTACTAAGGAGAATTGAGGTTGTAATCTAGTGAGCAAAATATTACTTTAGCTTCAGAACAAATATCTTTCTTCCATTCGTTTTTTACTGGACAGAGAAACTTTCTCAAATGAATTGGTAAGATTGTCCTAGATGTTTGTGATTTTTGAGTAATAGAATATAAACTGCTTAACAACTGGATTTGTAAGAATCCTAATATTGCTAGAAACAATATCAGAATCTGAAAGCACAAGATACTTACTGACACAGAAGACTTCAAAATATGGTGATTAGCATGTGAAGCTCCTGGCACAAAATCAGCTGGCTGTCCCACAGTTGGATCACTACTCCTTCTAACCAAAAGTGGAGTACCTAGAAAGAGAGAAAATAATATATTTGATTAACTAGGGTTACTTTAGAAGCATTCACTTTTATAACATTATATATTTATGATAGCTTCTGTGGATGCTTCTCCAGTTGCCAGTTCAAATGAAGAGCTGGTTCCAGGGATGTTGGGGGAAGGTGTGGAGGAACATTAGGAGATTGCCTGAGGTTCCAAGCCAGGAGCTGTGGTTGCAGGAGGACAACCAGACAAGCGGCTGGCTGAACTAGGGACAGGAGAGGCACAGCTGTAGCTGGCCAGTGGAGATAAGGAAGAACTGCTTCCTCTACAAGGATATTGTAATATTTCTACAAGGATTTAGGAATACTTTACAAAACAATCAACTCTTGCTTTTTTTTAGTATGGAAAACAAAACAAAAATTATTTTGAGTGAGATTTCCAAATACGTCAGAAAAAGAAAGAAAAACATGTTGTGTGTCAATAATACAATGTATGGATTGTAAAAAAGAATTGTAAAATTGTAAAAAGGAATTAAGAAAGCATTTTACTTTACAGGATCAGTCATCAAGATTAGCAGCCTGTGATAAGCAGATTCTCCATGATTTAGTCCAATTTCCTTTTAAAAGGAATAGTCCTAATCTATTCTTAGTTCCCATAGCATTTTTTTACTCAACAGATTTAATTATAATCTCTGGATCCTTAGCCAACTGGCATAATATCTCAAACTTTTCTCTATGTAAATTATGCCAATATATATTATTCATTTTTTCATTCCTTCGAAACCTATTTCTCAACAGTCTGTATATCAGGAGATACAACTCCCTGAATGTTAAACATATATTTAGATTTGAAAATATCATAGACAATTTGTTTTTAAAATACTATTTTAGCTTTGATGCTCTTCTAAACAAGAGCCAGCTCAAATTTGTGAAGGATTATGTCTTGGTAGGAGCAAATAGTCCTTTTCTGAGCAATTCCATTTTATTTTGGTTTTTGAAACAAGAATACACTTTATACTGCTTCTTTAAGAAAACCAAAATAAAATATCTGAGTGAAAATAAGTCCAGCTGCATACACACTTAAACTATTGAGCTTTAAGTAGCTAGAATCACTTCCGTTAGAATTTGACAACTCTGAATAACAAATCTAATTAGCATGGCAAGATATTGACTGGATAGTTATCAGAGTTACCTAGATTTTTTACTTCTCTGACCCAGCCCACAGCTATGGAGTCTGCTACTAGATGAAGTAGCATTCTGGCTGATCATGCAGCGTCAAGTCAGTGTTGACTCTAAGGACATTTTCTCCAGAAGGATTTGTTCTAATCTTGTTTGTCAAGTCTTCTAATTGTGCACTCATCACTATTGTAATTAAGCCCATCCACCTTGGTTCTGGTCACTTTCTTTCCATATTTTATTGCATTATAGACTTCTTCCAGAGAGCTAAGTCTTTGATTATTGGGTCTGAAAGAATTAATTGGAGTCATTTATGCCTTATCCCATGTCTTCCCCAACTAGATCAATCAATCTCTTTGATCAGGTTCTGTACATACTGTGGTTTTCTGACTTGTATATTGTTTTTGCACTAGGATAATAAGATGCTCTGAAATTCTCATTTTTCTAAGCACATTCTACAAGTTTACATGATCAATACAACTATTGCCTTTCTATATCAATGAAGTACATATTGACTTGTTCCTAGTATTCTTTGACTTTCTTAGCTATCCCTTCATCAACATTTCTTGCATTTTTCTAAAGCCATCTTGAATATTTGGCTTTTTTCTTCTCATGTAGAGTTCTAATCTGCATTGGATTATCCTAAACATTATCTTGCTAACATAGAAATTAAGGATATTGTAAGAAATTTTGCACACCATATTAACTGCAATTTGTTGGCCACTGTGTCATTCTCCAGATTATTTGGTTAGAAGCTGTACTGATTCTTCTTTTGTTTGTTATAAATATTCCATCACTTATTGTGGTTTCCCAAACTGATAATGACAGAGCACTAATCTAAAACCATTTTATTTTTATTTTTTTTATTTTTTTTAATATATAATTTTTATTAATATATTCTATACACTAATACACAAATAAAATATACAATCCTGCCACCATGGTATAATATGATTACATTGTCCATAAGTATAAAATCATTCCTTTATACATACATATTTGCCATCATATATATACATCATCATATGTCTATTCTATCCCACCTTTTCTGGACCCAATCGTACCATACTTTCCAACTGTTATAAAATTCTGAATCTTTTTTACCATTGATCAATCTAGTTAGTCTATCTGATTCCGCACACTCATTAATTTTATATATTATTTTCAAATCTATCGGTAAGTATTGATTTTTCCACTCCTGCGCATACGCTAATCTTGCTGCAGTGATAATGTGAATCAACAAGAACCATATATCTGACTTAACATTCAAAGGTTTTGCCCCCAATAGGAAAATCTCAGGTCTTAATTCCAAATTAATCTGTGTAATTTCCAAAATCCATTGCCGTATTTTTTTCCAATATTTAACCGCCTGCGGGCAGGTCCACCATTGGTGAAAATAGGTTCCATTGCTGTAACCACACTTCCAACAGCAGGCAGATGTCCCGGGAAACATTTTAGCTAATCTCGCCGGGGGTAGATGCCACCGGTAGATCATTTTATATATGTTTTCTTTATATGAGGAGGCCATGGTTAATTTCATATTTTTCAACCAAATCTGTTCCCATTGCTGGAAGTCAAGGGGATATCCAAAATTTCGCCCCCATGCTATCATACAATCCTTCACTACATCATGTCCTATCTGCAGAGACAATAAATATGCATAACATTTAGATAATATCCCTTTCCCTCCTTCTAATAAGATCTTATCCAATTCTTGTCTTTTACTGTAGATTCCTTCACTATGTAAATCTTTTTTATACCTGGAGTACACTTGCGAATAAGACCACCAGTCTATCTTATATCCTTGAAGAGTTAATAATTCTCGTGACTTTGGATTACCCTGAACATCCAAGAATCCTTCATACGTCAAGGTTTTCTCCCCTTTATACAATGTCGGGTAAGCCTGAGCTTCCTGCGCCGAAATCCAACATGGAACTTTTGTATATACTCTTCTTCTAACCTTTTCCCAAGTGTACCCAAGCGTCCTACGTAAATAGTGATCATCAAAGTGTCTAGGACGGCCGGATGCTCCCAGCCATAGAAAATAGTGCCAGCCATGTTGAAGACTGGCTCCCTCAAATGTCAAAAGTCGTCTCTTTTGTAGGACCATCCATTCCTTCACCCAAATCAAGTTCGCTGCTTGGTGATAGAGCTCCCAATTTGGGAGTCCAAATCCTCCTCTATTTTTGGGTTCTTGTAACATTTTAAGTCTAATCCGCGGCCTCTTTCCCTGCCAGATAAATTTAGATATACTCCTATCCAAATTTGTAAAAAACTCTTTATTCAACCTTACCGGGGCTGTTTGGAATAGAAATAACCATTTGAGTAACACGCACATCTTAATGGTTGCCACCCTTCCCAAAATTGATAGCTGGAGATTTTTCCATCTTTCTAAGTCTCTGAGCATCTGGCTGTAAAGAGGAAGATAGTTATCCTCCTTTATGGAGGAACATCTGGCGGTCAACCATATACCCAGATACTTAATTTTATTTGTTATTCTTAAGCCCATTAACTGCTCCAGCTGTTGCCTTTGCATCTGAGTCATATTTTTCACTAGGATTTTAGTTTTTTCTTCATTCATCTTTAACCCCGCTACCTTCCCATACTCTCTAATCAAGCATAATAATTTCAGGCCCGAGTCCAGTGGTTGATCCAAGATAAATACAAGATCGTCTGCATAAGCCTGAACTTTAACTTCCTCCTGCCTAATCTTCATTCCTCTTACTTCCGTGTTTCCTCTCACTTCTCTAAGCAGGGGCTCTAAAGTTAATACAAATAGCAATGGGGAAAGGGGACATCCCTGTCTTGTACCTCTACGAATTTGAATTCTCTCCGTCTCCTCTCCATCTATGAGAACTCTTGCAGTCTGCTCCCGGTAGGTAGCTCGAATTGCCCGAATAAAATTCCCACCAAACTCCATATATTCCAATTGAGAAATCATAAATTCCCAACTGATTCTGTCAAATGCCTTTTGGGCGTCAACAAAAATTAGGGCTAATTGTTTATCCGGGCGATTTTCGAAAAATTCTAATGTATTCATGATAATTCTAAGATTATCTCGTAGATATCTATTAGGAAGGAAGCCGTTTTGGTCTGAGTGAATGAATTGGTTAAGGAAGCAGCTAAGCCTAGCTGCAAGAACCCCCGCAAATAACTTATAATCGGAGTTTAGTAATGATATTGGCCTATAGTTCTTAATAAGAGATAGATCAGTTCCTTCTTTTGGGATAATAGAAATATAAGCCTCAGTCCAAGATACTGGAACCTGAGCCTCTTTCATAACCGCATTGATTAAATCCGTCATGTGTCTTCCTATCACGTCAAACACTATTTTGTATAATTCAACTGGAAGGCCATCTCTACCCGGGGTTTTGCCATTCGCCTGTGCTTTCATAACTGTTTCTACTTCCTCCATCGTAAATTCTGCATTAAGAATTTCCTTCATTGTTTCCGAGACTTTAGGCAAGTCTGTCTTTTCCAAATATTTCCGAATTTCACAGATATTTTCCTCTCCTTTCTGATAAAGCTGTGTGAAAAAATCCTGAGCTACCATTCTCTTGCCTTCCTTAGTACAATGGAAATTCCCAATTACATCTTTCAGCCCTTCTATTCTCCGTTGTTCCTGCTCCTTTCTAAGCCGGTAAGCCAACCATTTTCCTGTTTTATTCGCCCTTTCAAAAAAATTTTGTTTAGTCCACTTTAGTTTATTTGCTAATTCCTCTTGATCTAATAATTTAACCTGGTGTTGCCAGTACTCCCTTTCCTCTATCAATGTTGTCTGGGTTAATCCATTTTGCATCCTTTCTTCCACCCGTTGTAATTTATTCAAGAGGTTGTCTCGGTGTTTCCTACCC